GCCATCAGGTTACAGACCCTAAGAACAAAACCTACTAAACACTCAAACTGAACCAGAACAGTAGAAACAGCTCTTTTTTTTTTCTTTTTTTTTCTTTTTTTAAAGATAAGTGTTTTTCTGTTTTTTTTTCTTCGACTTTTCAACCGGTGGTCATAAATGATGCTGCCAAAGGGTGTTCAAGTTTTCATCTGTCCTCCCTCAGATAACTAGAACTTGATCATGTGTGTGTGAGAGTGTGCATGAGGATTTAAATTAAGAAACAATACACAGAAGGACCTCATGTTGCTTGTAACACATTTTAGATAAACACCTTCCCTGTTATTTTGTTTTACATTCTAGAAGATCATCTCTATTAAAGTATGTGTGCCCGTTTGACAAATAACAAGGTCTTGGAGATAAGTGCTGTTGATAGTAAGCATAAGGGACAGCATTTCTAAGCCTCATCTCTGGTACTTAAAATGGGATAGAAACTCCTTAGATTTTTTTCTACATTTGCGGTGTGTGATCTGTTTAATGTCTATCAGCATAACACAACACTAATCGCCAAGCATCTTTCGAGTGACTGTCAGAGAAATGTAAAAAAAATTAAGCAGCTGCAATACGCCCGAAATGAGTTATTGTAATTACATTTAATTAGTTTAATTAGTTAATTATTTTGCTTACAGCTGTACAAGAGACTGCAAACATTTGTTAATATCACATTCCCTTTAACAGTATGGGGTGATGCTGCAGTTACACTAAATCATGTGCGCATATGTAGGAAGATTTAAAAAATGGGCATGGGGAAGGGGGGATTCTTGGAGGAAGGGGGGGAAGGAGGTCGGGGCTGCCTTTCTACAGGCATTTGTTTTTCTCCCCTTCACGTTTGGTTCTCCTGGGAAACGCATTTAAGCCCCAAAGGGTATCAACCCCCTTCCCCCATCCAAAGCCAAGGGGTCCCCATCGAGGACTAGGCGGGGGGGCGGCGGCATGAAAACTACATTTGAGCATCGTGTGCTCCACCGGAGAGCATTTGTGTAATTAAACCCTTTGAAGGACGGGGGAGGGGGGATATCAACTCTTATTTTCACGTTATTTTCCCTTCACTCTATCTGCCTACCCAATCAACTATTCATCTTGCCGCCGTGGATGCCTGCTTCCCGGAGAAATTAATTGCCCCAAAGTAAAAAAAAAAATATATCATGAAGATATTGCTACACAGTAAAAAAGTTTGTCTAGCTTGTTGGAATAATCCATACCTTTTTTAATGACAGACTGGTCCAATAAGTTCATACCGCTGTTATTGGCATCTTCAACTGACTGTGGATATAAAAACATCACTATTCAAATTGACTGGATATTAAAGAATCGCGTACATAAATCATGTCATTCCAAACTGGAGTTGCTGTTATATCCATTTATATTAATTCACTAGGGGAGGAGGGATTTATCATTATTATTGTTATTATTATTCCCCCAAATCGACAAGGAAATTAAATTCTTACAAATTATATAGTCTTCTAATTAAAAAAAAATAAAAAAAAAAGAGGTGTGAAGCATATGGGGTGCAATACTGGTTTTGTTATCTTATAAAACAAAGATATCACATAGACCTCTTTGCATTCGATAAAGCTTTATATTTCTTCCTATGAAAATCTGGCAATTTGGCAACATCTGCAAGATCTATTGCATGACATAAATGAACACGATTAAAGACAACTTAAATTCTCCCTCCCCTTTCCTCCCCCTCCTTCCCCCGTCCTTTTTGTTTTGTTTTGTTTTGTATTGTTTGTTTGTATAATCCTGCTACATCTTAATAATTCAAGGGCCATTTACTTTTTATATATCATAGTTTACATTATGGACTTTTAATTAAAGCCTGAGCAATTCGGAGCGCAGCGCAACGCCCACATCGTATAGGGTACAAGCAGAAAGAGATTTACAGCTCCCGAGGTTGCTCCTGAATTAGTGGGGACGGGGAGGGGGGGAACAGGAATATACACTATCAAAAGTATGAACTATTAAATTGATTGCCTAGAAAAACTCTCCCAGTCTCCCTTTCAAAGCTTTTTTTTTTTTTTTTTTTTTCTTCCAGTGCACACCTGTTATTATAGCATTAAGTTCTTCAGGAGGGAAGAGAACAAAGACGGGCACAGACGACAAGAGCAAATGTTGGGTTTCATTTCTCAACACAAAAGTGGGATACACAAAAACAAACAACCAACCTCAAAATTACCGCTGAATCTGCGGTCGGCACAGTAAAATCGTCTCCCAAAGAGAAGAGGTGCCGTGAGGGCAATTTATTGTACAATTACTACAAGTCCCGTTTTAGAGTAAATTCAGGGTTTCAGAGAGAAGGAGGACCTGTGGGTGTCTTGGTTTTATTGTTTTATATTTCTCATTAGTGTTTAGGGTTTGGGTTTTTCCGGCTTATTGCATATTTGGGGAATAGTCATATTTTCTCCCTGATAAGGAAAACATCTTTCCATCAAAGCAATGATTTTCTTCCCTATTATTTTAAACTTTATCTTTACTACACTGAGAGGCTGAGCTTATCCGGATCCAGTCCTTATCTCCGGTTCTCTCTCCGCTCAGCAAAGACATGCAAAATGGAATATGATTTAGGAGAAAATTACATCTCCCCAAAATGTGGCGGAACAATATTTTCTATGAGATCTTTCCTTTCATTTTCCTTCAATCCCCACTCAAACGAGAGCACACACATCCACAGTGGTTCCTTATGCGGTGTGTTTGTGCACGGCTTGTCTCCCTCTCATAATCAATAGGCTCCATACCTAAAGGGCACAAAATAAAATTACGAAGTCTTCCCTCCTTTCCCTCAGCAGCTCCCAAAGAGGGATGATGAGCAAATCCTGCAGCCTGCTGGAGTGCATCGTGGTGCACCTCGATGGCACGGAATTGGAGGTAAATACGAAACGCCATATTTTCTTTCTTTTTCCTCCTTATCTCACCTTATCTCTGGAGTCGATGGCTGTGCACACGCTTTATATGTGTGCGTGCACTCCACTCGCTCCATCAGCAACGTGGGTTAGTTGTTGTAGTTAATGAGAAGACTCCTGTCTGATTTTCTATCTAATTACGCCCTCCTGCTGGGTTTTTGTACAGGATATTCGCTCAGCATGCTGGCAGTTAATAGTCACAGAGAGGATCGTAAAGATTTAATTAGGACTGCATGCGGAAACGTGGAAAAACAACTCAGACTTTTAATTACTAGACTTCTTTAGTTAAAAGTGATACCAGGGTTACTTTATAAGAGACTTGGGTGTTTTCGTGCAACTTAACTTGCCGTGTCTTTAGCTAGCACATAGGAGAGGGGACGGCAGTGTGAGTGAGGAGGAGGAGGAGGAGGAGTGGAGGTGTGTGTGCAGGGAGGGGAAAGGTGATGAGTTTCCAAATATACTTAGAAAATCTAGCGAGGAAGCTTCCCCTCCCTCTCCTCCTCCAATAATCTGACAGCACGGACCTTCCTGTATACTATATATATCCATCTTATTCAACAGCTATGGATATCTCTGAGGGAAGAAAAAAAAAAAAAAAGAAAAAAAATCAAACAAACCAGAAGACTGATCTTTTTGTTTTCCTTTAAAAAAATCTGGATTTTCCCCTGTATGTTTTCTTTATCGCTACTTTTACTAGTGAAACCCTCCTTTTGCCTAGCCGGTGGGGGGAAAAAACCCTAACCCTGGGGTTGCAATGGTGTTTTCCAGAGTCCTTATTAGATGATGCAAATTTGCTTCCAATAAGTAGGTCTTGGCTGCTCTGTTCCCTGTCTGAGGGCTGTAAATCGCAGATTGAAAATTCCTCTCGAAAGGGGCAGCAATAGCAATACAACCCGTCCTGTTTACAATAACAGAGAGCTATCGTGTTACAATCACTTAATTCTACCCCCGGACAATGGCTCACACATGGCCTGGATTTGGTGTTTATAAAATAACCACTGTTTCTCTCTGTCACGCACTCTTCTGTCTCCTTCTCCCTTGTCAGCCCAACCCAGTCTTACGGCACGTTTTCCTTCAGACGTGCATAAACTGAAGCAAAGCAACACACCTCTATCCAACTGTATATACCTAGATATGGGTTCAACTTTTTGGACTACTAAAAAAAGAGGAAAAAAACCCCACTACTTGAGACCCTTCCTGGAAATTCTCTCTAGTGTTTGTGTATAATAAGTATGTGTCACGGATTCCTTGTATCTGGAACAAATCCGTATTAAAAATCAGGGTGGAAAACTGCCCAACTTCATCTGTCACTAGTGGGGAGACAAGAATAGAAGACGCTGAGCGGTAGGAGCAAGTACTGAGCTGCTTTCCCTCCTGCCTGTGCTAACTTCTAGTTGGACACTTCTTCCTTCACGTGTGTCTCCTTGGGACACCCTCCTCTCCTTCTTCCCCTCCTCCTCCAGCCTGAGACCAAGCCTTTAGAAATAAAAGGCCTGTTTAATTTCCCATGGCCTCAGCATCACAGAACAAGAACCCCAGCCCTGCTCGCCCACAGCCTCGTCGCCCTTGTTCATCCCCGGCCCCATCCCCATCCTCATCCTCATCCCCGGCCCCGGCGGGTACCCGCGGGGCGCAGCGCTGCTCTCGGGGCCGGCGGGGCAGGGGGAGCACTTTCTGCGAGTGCTATCCCCTCCCGCAGAAGGGATGTTTCCTTGGAAAAGGGAGGGAGAGCTGCTTTATTTGTGCTGAATAGGACTTTTCCTTCTTTACACTTCTTTCTTTCTCTTTCTTCCTCTTTCTTTCTCCTTCCTCCTCTTTTTTCTCTTTCTTTCTCTTTTTCTTTCTCTCTTTCACTCTCTCTTTCTCTCTCTTTGTCCCTTTCTCTGTCTCTTTTTCTCCCCCTTCTTTATCTCTTTTTTCTCCCTTCCTTTTATTTTTCCTTCTTTTTTCTCTCCCCTATTTTTTCCTCCTTTCCCTCTCTTATTTCTCTTTTTCTTTCTCTCTTCTTTCTTTCTTTCTCCCTTTTATCTTTTTCATTTTCTTCTCCTTTTTTTATCTGTTTCCCTTTCTTTCTCTCTTCCTCTTTCTCTCTCTCTTTTTCTTCTTTTTTCTCTCTTTTCCTTTGTTTCTCTCTTCTTTCTCTCTTTCTCCCAAGAGCAAACAATTACCGGCTTTTCTTTGGAGAAAGTGTAAAATAACAAAGCACAAAGTACTATCTGTCTATCGGTTGCAAAGAGAAAGGGGGAGAGCGATCCCCTTGCTGCATTCAAGAGGTAAAACTCGCCTTGACCTGCAATGAGCCAGGAATGCGAAACGAGACCTGTGCATCGCCCCCGTGGGGGTCAGGGGATGCCCCCAGGTCTCAAAATCAGCTTGGAAACCCTCAGAAACCAGCGAGCCGACAGACACCGAGCTCGGAGGCAGGAGTAAATTCAACTAGAAAAACCTTCTTATTTCTAAAGTAACTCACCCCAGTAAAGCTCGGAGATTTTCCCTTGAAACCCTAAAACAAGCCCCCAGCCAAGGCAATCCAGCCCCTCTGCTCCTTTTCCTCTAAATGTTCATCAGGACCCTTTTTCAAAGCTGATTTTTTTCCTTCTCACCCTCCTCTTTTCTCCTTTTTCCCCCCCTTTGTAACTTTGAAGACCATATTTCATCCAGTCCTCCGTATTTTTATCTATTCAAAGTTTAAATATATGTATATATAAATGGTATATATGATATAAAATTTCGGGGAAAAGAAAGAAATGGAAGAGAACTCTCAAATCTCGACTAGCAAAGCCTAATGCAGGACCTAACCCCTGGAGGCACCAGCCTCCCACCCGGGGGTCCCCACCGGTTGGCCATGCCCTGTTCCAGCAAGGTGCAAAGCACCCCAGCACCGAAGCTGTTAAGGGCCTTTCTGTTTTTTAAGAAATAACACGTGACGATGAGTTTCGCGTGGGATGGGAGATGGAGATGGCTGGGGTATACTGTGCTTTCAGCCCGGTGAAACTCCTTTGTTACCCAAAAGAAGGAATAAAATGATTTAAAATCAGTGCTACCCTATACTAAAAAAAAAAAAAAAAAAAAAAACAATTTTTAAAAAAAAAAGGGGGTGTTGGTTTGTTCTTGATCACCGGTTATTGCTTTGGGTTTGGGTTTTGTTTATATTTTCCCTCCCTCACGGATGAAAAATGCAGTAATTTGACAGTTTCATCAAAATCCCTGAACTGCAGGAAATTGGTTGGGGGGGGGTGGGGGGTGAGAGGGAAGAGATGAGATTGCATAGGAAATAGCTGGAATTTGAAAAGCCAGGCTTAAACTCTGCCAGCTTTTGAAACACGTGGAATATTTAAAGCAGCATGTCTGTCTTCCCCCCTGCACTCTGCTGCCTTGCCATGTAGGGGAGGGTTTACAAAGCTGAGCCTGTGCATGACAGCGACGAAATTAAAAAAAAAAAAAAAAGGAAAGAAACGAAAAGGAGAAGTGGGGGGAGTATCACAATTATAAACACAGTGAGGAAAAAAGGATGTTAAGCCACACCAATATTGCTGTAAAACTTCTCATTTCTAACACAGGGATTGGGGGTCCAGCCTGGAAAGCATCTGCATCACCCAGGAGAA